TTTGAGTGCCCCTATTCCATAACATGGTTATAAATAGTATGTCATTTCATAGGATGAGAAAAGTGCAGAAATTGGAAATCTATGGAAAATTATTTTGAAGGAAAAGCACGTTTCAGGAAAATCACAAATTCTTTCAGGGTAAAATTAAAGTGTCTATTTGATTTTCTGCGTAGTTTAATCTTAACGCTTTGGAATATTAGAAAGGTTACTCCTGAACAATACCGGATCTATCATGCTAAAACGCGCATTTCTGGGGATGAGCGAAGTAGGGTTCTACTGCATAGCAATTATTACTTAAAAACAATTACGTACAAAATCTGAAGTAATAGTAGAGCACAGCTAAACTTTGAATCAGTGAACGGATGAGTTCAGACAAGCATTAATGGAAATTTTCTTCAAAATATCTCCTTCATAAAATCCCATACTCAATATGCATTTACAATTTCTTCTCTAATCACGACGCTCGTCTGAATTGCTCTTATTTACCAGACGTATCTCCTTATTTTCCAATTTGTATTCTATTAGTTTCACTAAATCATTTAGATGACTCTATCACCCTCAACCTTGTGCTTCCCTCGTTTTATAATCTGATGCTTCGCATGGATTGTAAGCCATAAAATGAGTCATGACCTTTGACCGCAAATGAGGTGCAGCAACAATCAAAAAATAATTACATCAGTGAACAATACAATACTGGTAACACATTTAGTAACGCGCGTCTTCAAATTAAATTTGGAGAGGAAATTTCGAACGCGATGCAACTCTGACGTTAATGATGGAACATAATTAGCCTGTCTGTTTGCTGACACAAGCAACCAGACATGTACTCCCTCTGCTCGTTTGCATATTCAGGGCACTAGTGAGCGATTAACACTGAAATGTGTAGAGTTACAGCTAATACCATGAAACGGGTCGCAGGAAACTACGAAGAAACAACAATTAATTCTTATGGAGTAATGAGAGAAACAAACAGGAAGTGTTCATATTGTTTGACCACACAATATTCGAAAATTATTGACAATGAGTATCACCATATGAAGTTTATCAATAAATCAATGTTTGCGGAACGAAGGCTCAGTTCCTCTAAAACTTGAAATAAACTCTTAAAGATGACTTTCTATTTTCAATTGATATATAATTGGTGTTTCCACTTATGAAAATAAGTTTTCTCACATTTGTATTAGCCTTGAACATTTGAACTAGCGTCATTTTCTTATACATGTTAGAAATTAGTTAGAAATTATAGAAAAAACTACTCGTAATATACATGAAATTGGACCACCTGAAATTTTTTCCTATACAAATGTCTCAAATCTGGAATATTTTAACACCACTACATAATCGTATTGCACGTGATGAGCAACAATTGTCGCGCAAATTGGCGCTAAAAAATAAATTTTATAGTTTGGTTTCTCAGTACATTTGACGCCAGGGTTACAGTAGACAACCACTAAACCCATCCGAGTGTACACAAAGAGATATGTACATTTCAGGCGCGGAAGAAAATATCTTCTTAATTGATAAATTGGTATTTTAGTTTTCAACCGTTCTTGCCCATAATCAATTCCATCTATTCGGGTCAGACATTGTGAAAATTGTCCCCGACTGAATTTACAGTTCAATATTAGATCCACTCGGGGACCATTCTGCTTTATTGTCACCTTATATAGTGTACATTTTCATCTTATATTGTATTGAATTTAATTAATTTCTCCTTCATTGGTATTCCTTTTACTAAGGTGACGTTAATAGTTTCAGTGGGACGTAAGACTAAACTTTAGACAAATTAACACAATTCTTCATTCAGATCATTCTCTTTCCTTTCAAATAGGCTGATTTGGCTCAGAGATAGCATTACTTGTCCCTGTCGTGACTCGGACCGGGCAGTCTTAAGCTTTGAGAACCGTCGTTGATGGAATTTCGACACTGGCTAGAGAGTTGAGTCAAATTCAGTAGTTTTTCATGGTTTCTCCGATAAATACCATGCGAATGCTGGAGCAGTTCCCTAACAAACGGACCACGGACTGTGTGTGATCCATCCTTCTTCTTCCTTGTATACCCTCTCCTCTTACTCATACATACACTCACACACGTACGCACACATACACACTCACGTGCAGTACACTACGGCACATATCGGAAGACCAGTTGAGAGCCTAGAGGTTGTGTATGCTGGGGTTGGGTTGAGCCCGTTGGATTGAGACACCTTGATGCGGAAATTCTCCGCAAGTCAACCTGTAGTTCGCCACCGGATCTCACTATTCTTCTGGGAGGATCACCTCTACGTCCAGCGATAAAACAATCACTCAACTAACGGGACTAAAAAACATAGAAGTCAACCTGCTTCGAAACAGCATTCAATTTTCCCTTTCAATTTTACAAATACGCACTTACTGTCGGCACACCTACGAACCAAAGCTGTATATAGAATTTACCTTCCTGCTTTCTCTAATAGAACCTTTCCTTGTATATAACTTAAATCTAACTTTAATGTCTAATTGTGTTTCTGAAATTAATTAAGACAAAGTGGATTCCGTTCAAACATTTCGTGAGATTAGAATAACTTAATTTGGAACATCGTGATCTCATATCTTACGCAGTTTCATCCCATCTCTTCCCAACTTCGAAATACAAACAACAGTTCCTCACTAAAGGACAAAGGCCGTCTATCTACTTGGTGGCTCAACACATACTTTTCTTCCCATTCCTGTCGCTGTCTGTCCGCCCCGTCGCCACCGCCGCGGGCGCCGTCTTGTCGCCGAAGGTAATTAAAAGAGGATGTCTCCTCAGGTGACCGCCGGGGGCGGTGGCGGTGGCGGCGGCGGCGGCGACAACGAGCGCTGAAGACGGCCATGAGACGAAGCTAAAAGATTGCCTCGCAGAGAGATGCTCATTTCTTAATGGCTCTGCGCTGCTCCGAGCTGCCCTGCCCCGCCCAGCCTATGCCACGTCGCGTGCCCCGCCTCTCGCCACTCCGCCGCGCCCCTTTCCCGCCCTTCCCTCCTCGCCGCCCCGCCCCGCCCCGCCCCGCCCCGCCCCGCCCCGCCACCGCCCCGCCACGCCCACGCCACGCCCCGCACGCCCCGCCACGCCGCCGTCCACGCCCCGCCACGCCCGCGCCACGCCCTGCCACGCACACACGGCACACGAACCCCGACCACGCCCCGCCAACGCCCCGCCACGCCGGCGCCCACGCCACCTCCACGCCCCGCCACGCCACCGGCCACGCCCCCGCACGCCCCGCCAACGCCCCGCCACGACCCCGCCACGCCCCCGCCACGACCCCGCCACGGCCCTCTGCCACGCCCCGCCCAGCCGACCCCGCCACGCCCCGCCACGCCCACCCACCGCCCCCGCCCACGCACCCGCCACGCCCCCACGCCATCGCCGACGCCACGCCACGACCGACGCCAACACACACGCCAACGACCAACACCCGCCCAACGCACAGACCCCACCCCGCCACGCCCCGCCCACGGCCCCGCCACGCACCACGCCCACGCCACGCCACGCCACGCCACCGCCACGCCCCGCACGCCTACGCCACCAGCCCCGCCTACCGCCCCAGCCACGCCCCGCCACCGCCCCGCCACGCCCCGCCACGCACCCGCCACGCCCCGCCACCCCCGCCCACGCCCCGCCACGCCACGCCACGGCGCGACCCACGCCCCCGCCACGCCCCGCCCGAGCCGACCACCCCGCCATGCCCGCCACGGCCACCGCCATGCTCCCTGCCACGCCCCGCCACGCCCTATCACTACGCCCACACGAATTCGCCCCACTCCGCCCCGACTCGCTCCTCCTCGCCCCGCCCCACCCTCGCTTTCGCACCCCCGCGCGGGGACAGATCCGGAAGGCCGCCTCGGCCCCGCCTCGCAAAAACAAGCCTCGCTAGGACTCTCAGTCAGCGCCTCCGAGGTGGGGGTGACTCTCAGAGGGCGAGGTGCTGTTTGCGAAACGCTTTGGGTCGAGGTATTGTGGAACGTGGCCGAGATTTCAATGCTGAGCGGCAAGTTTGAGTCTGGCGAAGAAATAATCAGCTGTCTGAACACAAGATGTCATGTTAAGGTCAAACATTTAAATCAGTTGTATATATAAATTGTGCAGATAGCGTTTTTAGCGGTTTTTTAGTTGCTTTCAAAACAACGGAGGATTACCGTTCAGTCTATTGATAATGATCAGAGAGTACTGCTAAGGACATCTTGATGCAACGGAGAGGATATAAAATCGCAAGCTCAGAACACAATAATCTGCCAAAACTACTGGAATGTTAAAATACTACCAATAACGCATCATTATATTTTCAGCATTGTAACGTTTTTTTTAAGTAAATGCACCTACCCATGCCCTTAAGGCAACTAGCAATTGAACTGCGTTAGTACATTGTGCCTCTTGACGTTCCATTTGAAAGTTACGAACCATGCAGAACAAGATTACTTTTATCGGCAGAGTAAATTTTCTTCATCCCGACCAACAAAACAATAGCGTTTCAACCACAATTCTCAAACTCTGCCTGTAGACACTTCTTATACATGAGCTCTATAGGAAAGAGTGCATTAAAGCGATGAAATCTCTTCGCTTTCGTTAGGTGTTGCAATTACGCATTGCATAAAGCATGAGTGCGAAAAATCCATTGTCCTCAATAAGGATTCAGACTACTTTTAATGTCTATATTTGGCGTAATGATACCATTCACCAATTTTTACTCCGTCACGTTATGATGGTTTCCTGTAGCTGAATTTTGTCTTTATCAACAGTGATCAACTGTATCATTAAAATATTATGGCAATAGGAATGAAATAGTAAGGATAAAACGAGAAACGAAAAATGAACGTATCCTGTGTAAGCCTACCATGAAACTTTTTCTCCACTACAAATTACACGAGGAGTGTCTGTATTTTCATTTCCGGTATCCACAGTTGTAAATCAAGCGAGGTGGCTTCTTCAATGTGGATCTGCCCCGTCTGAACAGGTGGTGATATCTCTTGTTTGTTGCAGCGTGGGTGCTGGGCTGGTGGATGTGCAAGACAGTACCGTACGTGCAAGGCGTGTCGGTAGCCGCCTCAGTCTACAGCCTCATCGCCGTCTCCTTAGACAGGTGAGTCCCATCGAGGCCAACATCCTCATCGGTATCGGTAATATTTCTGAATTATTTGTTCTTGCGGTATCTAACGCCCTGGCACTAGAATATGTGTCCATTAATTCTCCCAACATGAATTCTGTAATTCTGAAATTTCATAACATGTCACCATTGTCTTCCACTCTAACCTCCTAATTCTGACTCCCATTTTTGCCGTCAGAGAACGACACATCAACGATTTCAATATTTGAATTGGTTATTTCAGAAACTTATCAATCGCCAACTTAACCAATTTCAGAAAAACAAAAAAAAACTGTCTAGCACCATACTATTTTTTGTACGAGTTTTTAATTTTGTTGCTAAACGTAGCATATATTTCTATAATTTGTATTGAAGAAAAAATGTACGTATACCCTTCTAGAAAATCCACTAGTAACTATTTTTTTAGAGCTTGACTGGCTTCTGAAGTGACTCATTCATTGCTTGAGTCTATCCCTGGGTGAGAGGATATGTAATCTGACTGAGCTAGAAATTGTCGCAGAAATTAGTTTTGCAGAAAACCTTCCAGGGTTCTTTTAGATGCCACAAGCTGATTGTTAATAATGTTTGAGTCTTTGAAAATGCAGGACTCAAGTGAGTTTCATTCCAGCTTGCAGTTTATTATTTGTACTTATTTAATAATGTGTTCTCTTCCTTTCGTTTTCTTTGCAGGTAGGCATATTCTTTAATGGACGAGCATAGTACGAGTACATTTGTCTACGATTCGGAAGGAGAAGTCATCAAATTTGTTTGGCTCTTCCCCTTTGATAGTTCGACCAGAAGCAAATTTCTACTTATACTTTCAACTTGATAATATTATAAGTAAATGTTTACTTGACAACTAATGTGTTTTTATATTAATTAAAATTTTATTATATTAAATAATTAATTGAATTCTAAAAGTATAAATATTTTAGTTTAAAATTTTTTCACATAGTGGGAAGAAGATCAAATGTAATTCAGATGATATTTCCTAGTTTTAAATACCTCTATCGCGAAGTCTGCACATAATTAATAGATGTAAGTTAAGCATAAAAATAACAGGAGATAAGAGTTGCCATATTATCAATAGTAATTCTGAAATGCCCCTTAAAAGTACACGGTCAAGAATAAACCAGAAAGAAAGAAAACAAAGCATAGAATCAGATGGCTCTATATCCAAGAAAGCGATCATCATTAGGTACTATATTTCGTGAAACCAAAAACTTATTTTCAATTAACAAGTTAGCCTGATAGCCACTGATCCACCTCAACACTTCGAAAATTATTCAAAGGTGTTACTTCGCCCGCTGGATGAGACTGTGAGAGAATGTAATTACCATGCTTAGTGAGATGCCCGCTGTCACCGATCGCGAATGTGAATGTCGCTACAGACAAACGGAGTAAGGACAAGGGAACGCCTGGGAGTGTGTGTTTGTGCTGTCTGACGAAGCCATACACCGCTCCCTCTCTCTCTCTCTCTCTCTGTCTCTGTCAGTCCAAAAGTAGACTTCCCAACTTCCCCTCCAAGAGCTCCACAGAAGTTCGCTCTGACACAACAGCCCCGAATATCGCCTCGCGGAGGCTACGTCGTAGGCAGAATGCAAGTGAATTCGTTAATTAAGCTTTGCACTTTAACTCGTTGAATTAGATAAGTAGACAACAAAACATTCAAACGGAAGTGATGTTGATGGATCCTTTATGAAATTCTCCCCACGAGTTTGTATAAGGCAGATAACTGTCTTTGTCAAGGTTAAGAAGAAGCTTAATCCGACGAACTTGATGTATTGATCCAAACTCTTCCAATCTCTAGAGCAAAAGCTTTCTGGATCATTGGATAATTTTAATTCATTGCACTACTAAAAATAAATGTATCGTAAGTATGAATAAATTCGTTTATAGTATTATAATAATATGTTATAAAATGGAATAGTAGGAACGATCATCAATCCCATTGTTGGATCGAAATGGACAGTTTGGGGAGAGAGCATGCGTCCACATTTTATGACTAGCCATAAGAACAACAATTATGCTTAAATTGCCAAAACATACTAAAACTGTAAAGTAACATATTGTAAACATGCAAAGTGTAACATAATACAAAGAAACAAATGCAATATCTCTCTATTTATCCGTATATTTCTTATCAATTGAAGAGCAGATGCAATAAAGTAAAAAATTAAAAGCAAATTGTGAATAAATAAAAAGAGATTCGTTCAAATTGACTGACATGAAAATGTGTAAAAGCATCAAAAATTTCTGGATTATGTTGTGATAATATTTCATTCTGTGCGTACATTCACTTTTCAGGACTTGACTGAGTTTGCTAGCAATATAGTGCTATTTTGACTTCGCCGGGATTTGTAAGATATCCTTGCAACCTAATGCGTCGATGAAAAGATGTCGGTTCTGGCAATGGCGGCGACAGTTTGGAGGTCTGTGGCACAGTCCGAAGGCTTTCAAGATGCAGTGGAGATGTGGGAAATTTCAACCATAGATGTCCAAGTTCACGTTGTACAAACAGAGTTGTAGATGAAATTAATTTACGATTGTTTAACTTGCTTTCTTTTCTGTTATCACTCTTTGTAGATTTAGAAAATGGGACATACCTCAAAAAGACAAAACTCCTTTCTTAAATGGACAAAAATATCTCTTGACATCTAGCAAACTAAAACCAGACGCCCGTGTCAAATTACAGATTAGCGGACTAGGAAAAAAGCAACTCAGAAAATCTTATTGCTCCACAGATTCGGCTTTTGGCGAATAGCGAGCGATCGTTCGCTGAATCTCTCGTAGTGTAGATGGGCTACAGTTTGCAATTTGCCGAGCGAGACGAACATTCGGTGCTCTCACTAGCCACCGCGTGTCAGTCTTTAGGACACATCAAATGAAGCGTACATTCGTCGAGCAGCTGCTCGGGATTGGACGAGCAGAAGCTTGCTTCTCGGCAAATGCCGAATGTGTGGAGCCGCCTTTATACTCACCAGCTGTGCCCTTCCCTTCTACGACTGCCACATGTAGAAGGCATTGAGGCCACCATTGCCATCTCCACAGACGTCTCGCAACCGCACCGGCCTCCGCTGCCGCCACACTGAACATCACCTCCACCGCACCGGCCTCCCGTGTCCCCCACCTCCACCGCACCGCCATCGTTCGGGCACCGCCTCCACCGCTGCAACCGCTACATTGCGTCCTTCGCCCCATGACCTCGCTCCTATCGCGCGACCCACCGCTGCACTGGGACAAGCGTGGAATATTAACAGTAGCGACGCGAGGCGCTGTTGAAGTGCAGACACTGAGACAAAGGCCTTGCTCCATGCGTCTCTCTCTCTCTCCTCTCTCCACTCATTCATGTGGCTCTACCGCACTGTTGCCGTTAGATTGCCACCCCTGTTCTCCGCTCCGTTTCCCCTCCCGAACCGCGTCCAACTCCCTTCCCCTCCAACTGCCACTTAGGAATGGCCCTATTGGAGCCTCTCTCGTCAGAATGTAGAATTTCTCCTAGCACTTCTGATATTTAAATAGCACATTTGCCTTTCTCGAGTCATCAATCTGCAGATTGGTGTTAAGCAATGATTTCATATATTTCATAGATTATTCTCTGATATTTCATTTTATAATATCATTGTCCCAATGATTATCTCTTAATCGAATAATTACGTTTTCCTAGCTGTACCCTACGTAATGGCACTTCAATAATTCATTTAGTGAATCCAGAACATGCAGTACGCAATAGTTGCATTAGGAAGAATGGGAATACACGTAATTCGTGCCAGGATGTTGAAATGAGGGTTTCGTTCGACAGAATTCGTGTCTTAGCTAAGTTAAAAATTTTGACTCTTCCATCTGATTTCAAAAATTACTCTTGTTTGCTGCAATTTTTTTAATTTATTGTCTTCAACAGAATTGTCATCAACGTAAAGGTTGCCTTAGGTAAGGATTAAAATCCCGTTGCATAGAAATGATTCGTACACTACTTGCAATAATTTTCCCAATTTCAAGAATTATACTGAAGAGATAAAATGTATACGATTATTCGGATTCGGACATTTGCAACCCATTACCCGCTAGAAATTATCCCCAGTTCCCGAAAATTATCAGCTGATGCTTCGAACATATGGCCGACTGTAATACATTTCGCGCAGCTATGCGGTCCTCTGCGACCCTCACCTGTTTGAGCGGCGACCATAAATATTCTCTCGAGTACATTGGAAATTCTTGCTAATTACACGAGTGGTTTCGCGATTTTATCAAGATTTTCCCTTACATGAGTAGAATTTAGTAAATAAGGTGGCTTAAATCACGAATAAATTCATTAATAAATTCAAATAAATGTATTAATTACCAAATAAGACAAAAATATAGATTGTAATTTCTACATTACAAAATGTCTCAAAATCACTGCTTCCTAGAATAATTTCACGTAAGTCTGGGAAGCTGTACTAAGACAATGAATGCAGGATGTTTCATTTATATTCTAAAATACTTAATTAACAATAAGAAAATAATATAAAAATAACTCGCAACATTACATAAATCTGTGAAAAGGAATAGTAATTGAATGAATAATTATTAAAACCACAATTACCATTGGTTCAGTCATTCGAAATGTTTGACATCTCTTCATTTGATGTTTGTGATGAGAGTTTATAATGTCCTTCACAGCATAATCACTAGCACCATTTCAATACACGTTTCCTCTGTTTTCTTTATATTCAGGTAGTGATTTGCTTATTTTCTCACGTATTTCATCAAGTGAAATTTCTCCTAAATATTTTAACGACTTTTAAACTAATAGTGTTAGTTTATTTTCACGCAATATTTGCAATGCGCACATTAATAGAATAAATATATTTGACTAATGAAAGAAAACTGGTGTACATAGCGCTAATTGCTTTGACATGAACATTTTGCTGTAGACTGCTAGGAATAGTTTAAGTTTGAATAAATTATTTTTACTATTGGACACTCAGTGTAAAAGAGTAGTACTAAAATTAATTGTCCATTGGTCTCAACCGAGAATATGTATTTATTCAGATCACCGATTTCTAACTTTTCATTAATTGCGTCGAAGCGCAGGTACTAATTTTGTTGCTCCTGTGAAACAAAAGACAAGCGGGCGGTTCCACACCTCAATGAAGCACTTGCCTTAAACCTTTTTTACATGATCATCGAAAAGTTTAAATGCAGTTTTGTCGCGAGACAATTAATTCTTAATTAATGGAAATGACAAGAAAATGCGATGTGTAAAACTAAGACAGGACAATAGGATTTGAGATAAAACTTTATCTAGGGAATGTCCAAACGCCAAGTATAACACATTTTAGTGTGATAAATAACAATTAAAATTAATCAATGACAACAAAATTAAATTAATTTATAAATCTTCAAACAGAATATCATTTACTTTTTAACTTTTATCAATATTTAATTTTAATAAGCATCTAAACTTTTTAATGAAGGGATGAAATCGTAAAATTCTCTTACGAACTTTGAAAGAGGTCGTCACGTCTATTAGTTTTACTACATCAACTTTTTCGAAATAAATAATTTATTGTGATGCAGAATATAAGTAACGAAAGCTGCATAAATATTTTTATACACTTTTACAAATTGATTTTTCTGCATAGTCTTCTTTAATAATCAGTTGTTTTCGGCAAAAATAACCTAACACTTATTCAGTTAATAAAATCCTCATCGGCCCTATCTTTTCAGAAAACCCAACAAACGGTAAATGTGACGCAACAAAATTCTTCCTAATTAAATCAGAACTTCCGCTGTAATACCGTTGAAGAGCACATCGGTTAAATAATGGCTTGCGTTTGTTTCTCCTCCTGAGACCGCTGAGTAGTAACTTGTTTCTTCGTCTCATTCTTCAAAATCTCTCTTGCTCGAAATCAAGTATTCTCCTCGATTCCGCAGTTCCACATTCACTTTTCCGCGCTCCCCGCGTTAAAAATGTAGGCAGCATCTTATTGTTCGGAGGAAACAGATCCGCTGCCTGGCGAAGGGAAAGTTCGAAAGAGGATTCAAGCCGTCCGCAGAGGGATCGCGCCGGTGGGGG